GAAAGGAAGACGGGTCTTCTCAGTGCAGAGCTGCTGAGCTAGGAGCCCAGAACCAGAGGCTCTGAGAGTCCATAGGGACCTGAGAGTCGCCATCATCTTCTACACTGTTTAGCCTTCCCGGAGAACCTGGCCATAAGCCCCAGAACACCTCTTCAAATGCGCATGCTCCCACGCAATAGCGTTATTGGGACCTGTCCATCAAAAGGACACAGAGTTACCATAGGATCCAGCAACCTCATTCCTAGGCATCAACCCAAGAGAAATTAAAACACGTCCATGAAGAAACCTATACACCAGTGTTCACAGCGTCATGTTTCCTGACAGCCAAGTCACGGCCACGACCCACGTGTTCCTCACCTGCTGAGCAGGTAAACAAGAGGAGGCCTATCCATCCAACATCACGCGGCCTCAACATAAAGGAGAATGAAGCACTGATATGTACTCCGCCACGAATGAACCTCGAATGCAATGCTGAGTGAAAGAAGTCAGACATAATAGCCACATGCAGGAGACAGCAAGTGATGTGGTGGTCAAGGCACTGGACTCTCATGTGGCTGACCACAGTTCAAGTCCCAGACCTGACAGTTTGAAACTCACCCAGGTATGTGTGCATGCATATCCAAAATCTCAGGAGGAAAACAGACAAGAGATTGCAACATGGCCATTCCCCCAGGGGGAGAGTTCTCACTTTCTCTCGCACTTTGTCTCTGTCTCTCTAGTAAGCACACATGCTCTATAGCAAATAATAATAATAATAATTCAATTTAAAAAGCCACATATAGCACAACTCCACTTATGTGAGAAATCCAGACTAAGCAGATCCTTAAAAATGAAAGCAGATTGGTGCTCACCATGAGCTGGGATTGGGAGGAATTAAAAAGGGCATGACTGCTAACAGGTATGGAGCTTTCTTTTGGAGTGATAAATATGTTTTAGAATGATTAGGTCATTGAAAAAGTCATGACATATTTTACTATGTTTTTCTATGCAAAAGTGTGTTGTGATTTTTCTGACAACCCAAATAAATGGAGGTACTAGTTGCTCAATACCATGATGTACTAAATGCCACCAAACTGTTTGCTTTAAAATGATTAATGTTGGGCCAGCAGGTAGCATGGTGGTTAAAGTGCTGGACTCCCACGTGGTTGACCACGGTTCAACTCCCGAACCTGGAGGCTTGCTTTCTCACTTTCCCTTTCTTCCTCTCTTGCTCTCTCATCAAATTAAAAATAACAAATAGATGAAATAACTATTTGAAAAGAAAATGATTACTGTTACAGTATATTAATCTACTTCAACTACAAAAACAAAAAGTTAGGACTTCAAATGCATCCCTAACTCCCCCTATTCCTAGACCCCTAGCTGAAGAACACCATACGTGTTCCCAGCCAGCTTTGCTTCCTGCACAAGCTCCCTCTTTGAACCTGTTTCCCTCTGTGCAAAACTAGAGGCTCAGGGGAGACACGGTATCTGTCGAATAATCCACACCATTGAGAGCCAGATGGTGACACGACAGCAAATGAAACTCCATGAGGCTGATCCATGTGGGAAGGCCCCTCATACCAGTCCAGAGATTCTGGGAGTATACTGGATGTGTATGCGCTCATGACCCTGGTTGGCTGAGCCTACGGTTGGATCATGGGGTCAAAACTCTGTTCAGGGGGTTGGCTCTGTGACCTAATGGTTAAGACAACTGATCCCATGAAGCCAGCCACGTGGTTGGATTCATGGACCACAAGGCTTGAGAAATATACCAGGTACACGTGTACTCTAAATCCCAAAGTGGGGGAAAGATGGAGGGGAAGAGATTGAGGTGTGACCTTTTGTCCACAGAGGGTGCTTTCTCATGTCCCCCTCTCTTTCATGAGCACACATGTACTCTAATCAAAACCTGTTAAGGGATCCTCCACTGCCAGTCCTTTGGGGGCTCTGCAAGTTTCTGGCCAGTCTGCTTCAGCACCCTGATACCCACTAGATTGCAACATGCCTCGTCCAACCCCCAGTGGCACTAACGTGGGCTCCTCAGGGCGCTCTCCCAGCAAGTGGCCGTCTGGGCTGCAGGATCCACTTTCCAGCAGAGGAAAAATGCCAGCTGTAGGAACAAGAAGTGCAGCCCACACAACCTCAGCAGGCACTGGGGGGGATGTGGCGATTCTACACGGAAGACTCACCGGGGCTCAAAGTGGGCCCTGTTCCAGTACTGGTTATGAGTCTTCTGTTCATCGCTTCTGCATTTATGTTGCACATTTGGGGCAAGTACACTCGCTCATAGATTCGGCTCCATCTATCTGTCATCTGAAGAAGAAGAAACCCAGCATATCTTGGACCAAAAGTATAGTGATTTTCTGTTCAAAAGAAAGACATTTTCTCTAAGCTTTCTGTTTTACAGGGAACGTAAGAAGAATTGATTTTGAGGAATCGATTTTTTTTTTCCTATGGTTAATAAACTTTTTAACTCATTAAAAAAAAACCTGTTAAGGGACCAGCAGTTGGCATAATGGCTATGTCGCTGGACTCCCCCATGTAGTCAACCGTGGTTCAAGTCCTAGACCAGTGGCTTAAATTCACACCAGGCATGTGTGCGTATGTGCCCAGGATCCCAAGAAGAGAATGGAGGAAAAAGGATTGCAGCATGGCCATCCCCCCTAGGGGGTAATTTCTTGCTTTCTGTCTGTCTGTCTCTCTGTCTTTCTGGCGAGTGCATGTGCCCTATAGCAAAAACATCTCCAAAAAAAATCCATTAAGAATGCTCTCTCAGAAAAAATAAACTTTATTAAACAAATTTAGGAGGCCAGCTGGTGCCATGGTAGTTAAGGTGGTTGAATCCCACATGACCAACTTCAGGGTTCAAGTCCCAGACCCAGCAGCCTAGAAAACAGGCTGGATGAATGTGCATGTGTTCCCAAAATCCCAAAAGGTGGGAGAAGGGATTGTGGCATGACCATCCTCCATGGTGGGATGCTTTCTCACTTTCTCTTTCCCCGCCCCAGTGAGCACACATGGTCTCTAGCAACTTTAAAAATAAAAATAAAAATATATGGTAGTAGTTCTGGGTGGACACTAATTTTTATTCTAAGAGTTATTTAAACATGGAGAAGAAAAGAAAGATACGGTGAACAAATCGACCTCCGGCAGGAGAAATTAAAGGGTATCCACAGGGGACCTCAATTCATGAAGAAATGGAATTAAGGCGAGAGTTTCTTTTGTTGAAAAAGTTTTGAAATCCATCCATAGTGTTTTCATAATACACATTTCCTGTGAACTTTTTGAAGACCTCCCCTGGATGTCGATGTTTTCCTTTTTAAAATTCTTCACTAATGTTTGTTTTCCTCTTTTTGAAAGGCTTGTCTTCCTCCTGTTTCATTAATGCTCCTTTTTCCTCTTTAAAAACAGTCTCGCCTTTGCCACACAAAATCTAGATGGCTTGAATTTGTCTGTGAGCCTGACCGGGAGGAAAGCTCATGCACGCTGACCTTAAAATAGATGTTTGTTTGTTTCTGTTTTTCAGCGAGCCGGTTTAGAGGAAATAAGAGCATAATCCTACAGGTGGTAGGTGGTGTAATCATGGAAAAAAAGAACGAAGAAAGAACGTGACTAACTGGAGTTTGGGACTCACTAAAAGGCAGCTGTGACATTCTACAACCCCATGACAAGCTCTGGGCTTCCCCTGCTCCTAGCATGGCTATTTAGGGTTCCAGCCTAAAGACACCAGCCAGGATTGGCAATGAGACAGGTGGGGCCTTGAGAGGCCCTCTCTCTGGGAAACACGCAAAGCCTTGTCGGCAAACAGTCCCATACTGTGGGGTCAGCGTGCTTGGGTTCCATCACTGGCCGGCCCGCCTTCCCCTGGGACCTGCCCTCTGCATGGTTTCCCCTTGCCTGGGAAGGTTCTATGCTGCCACCCTCCAAGGTCCTGCTGAGAAGGGACATGGAGGGAAGGGTGTTTGCATCACCTCTCGAGAGGAAGTGTCCACGCTTAAACCAAGCCCCCAGAAACGTCCTTAATGGAAGCCCAGAGCATACCTCCCTGACGGTGGAACTTGAGTCCCTGTGACAGGTGGCAGGGAGAGACATTGTTGGGCAGCGTGAGACTTGCCAACATCTTCTGAGCACACCCCCCGAGGCAGCTGCCGGGGCCCACATTTGGACAAGCACGTGGTTCCTTCTCTGAGCAAATTCATCTTAGGGGTGGACAAGTTCAGCCTCCCTGAGCTGGCCGACGACTCTCAAGCCTGCAAAAATTACCTTGCCACAAACCCGTTCTCCTCAAATGAATCCGAGGACGTGACATAGCAGAAAGAACACCCACTTGGGGCTGGCTCCGAGGAAAAAATGCTCAAGAGGAGCCAGATCCCACATAGCGACTGTGGTTCAAATCCCCACCGTGGTTAGCCTGAAATCAGCCAGGTATGTGTGTCAGTGTCCAAAATTTGATGGGCTTGCAGGACTGGATGAAGGGGATCATGGCGTGACCAGCCCCTGAGGAGGCTGCTCCTCTTTCTCTTTCTCTCATGTGCTCTATCATGAATAAAGACAAAGAAAAACAACACTTGGGGGGGAGGGGCAGCAGGTGGCATGGTAGTTAAGGGACTGGACTCCCACAAGGCCAGCCACAGTTCAAGTCCCGGACCTGGCAGCTTGCTACTTCATGCACTCTTTCTCTCTGGTGAGTGCACATCCCCTACAGTAACCACATGGCTGACCATGGTTTGAGTCCCAGATCCAGCAGCTTGAAACTCATGCCAGGCATGTGTGCTTGTGTGAGCATGTGCACCCAAAATCCCAGGAAGAGAATGGAGGAGAGGGGACAGCAGAGTAGACAACCTTCCTGGGGGGTGATTTCTCACTGTCCCTCTCATTGCCTCTATGTCTCCTATAGTGCACACACCGTATAGCAAAAACCTTAAGTAAAATAATAACAAATTAACCCTACAAATGAAAAAACGCATACTTTGCAGTCAAGCAGACCTAAGTGGGAGCTCCAGGGCTCTCCCACTCACCTGTGCAGCCATGGGGACCCCGTCTCCTCTTTGGACCTCAGACTTCTGGCCTCCATCATGAAGAACTCCAGCTTGCAGGGCTGTGGCTGGGAACGGCTGAGACAAATGTCCCCTGTGGACGGCACAGAGTAGGTGCTGGTAAAGCAGTGACAACCAAGGGACTGAAAAGTTAGGGACTAGCAGTTAGCCCAATAGCTATGTCGCTGGGCTCCTATGTAGTAGACCATGGTTCAAGTCCCCGACACGGCAGCTTAAACTCACGCTGGGCACGTGTGCATGCATGCCCAAGATCCTGAGAGGAGAATGGAGGATAAGGGATTGCGGTGTGGCCATTTCCCCTACGGGGTTATTTCTCGCTTTCTGTCTCTCTGTCTCTGTCTTTCTGGCGAGCGCATGCACCCTACAGCAAAAACCTCTCTCAAAAAAAAAAAAAAAAAACAAGAGTGTGTGATAAAAAGTACATATGTTTAAGTGTAAGGGTGGCAGATCCTACCTGGTAAACTGTGTTTGAAATCCTGGCCCCAGAGGCTTGAGACATGCCAGGCACGTGTTCATGCATGCCCAAAATCTGGACAGAATGCAGAAATGGAGAAGACTGGCGTGACCGCACCCACTGGGCATGCTTTCTCCATCTCTGACTCTCTTTAGCAAGCGCACATGCTTTCTGACCTTTTTTTTTTTTTTAAGTTCATGACAAAACTGTGAGCAGACTTCAAAATCTTTTTGGCAGGGCCAGCCAGTGTTTCATGGTGGTTACAGCAGCAGATCCTACGCAGCCAACTGCATGGTTAGAATCCCGGGCCCAACAGCTTGAAAAACCACAGCAAACCTGTGTATGCATGCCCAAAATCCTGAGAAGAAAATGGAGAAAGGATTGCAGTGTGGCCGTCTCCTACACTGCAATGTGGGAGATGATTTCTCACTTCCCTCTCTTTTTTTTTTTTTTGAAAGGTTTTTGCTACAGGGCGCATGTGCTCACCATAAAGACAGAGAGAGACAGAAAGCGAGAAATCACCCCACAAGGAGGATGGCCACGCCACAATCCCTTCTCTATTCTCCTCTCAAGATCTTGGGCACGCATGCACACGCACCCAACGTGAGTTTAAGCCACCGGGTCTGGGACTCGAACCACAGTCAACTACATGGGAGTCCAGTAACATAGCCATTACACCTACTGCTGGTCCCTCCCTATCTTTATTTCTCTCCAGCAAACCTATGTGCCAGACAGCAAAAAGAAAAAAAAAAATTATATATATTTATATTTGCACCAGGTAAACTCCTGTTTTAATTCCGCTGTTCCATACGCTTTTTGAAATTCCCTGTTATTATCTTTTTAAAAATGTAAATTCTCTTTTAGAGATAGCCCATCATGTTATACCTTGAGAACTTAAAAGAGACTTGACTTTTCTTCCCCAGCCTGGTGGCAAACTTCGCAGTGCTGAATTGCAGTGCTGGAAGCCACATGGTCAACCACGAGTTTAGATCCCTAGTTGGCCGGAAATGTACTAGGCGTGTGGACACGCCCTAGATACCGAAGGGCTGGGGAAAGGAAATCGTGACATAATGAAACCTCATTGAGGATGCTTCTCTTCTTTCTCTCTCTGCGCCCTCTATTAATGATTTCTTTTTAAGAAGCTAATTGCTCATTTAAAAACGAGATGACTTCTAAAGCAAACTTACTAAATCTAAAACCAGTATGTATGTGTGTGCGTAGAAGGGTGAGGAATGGGAAAAATGAGTGGGCCGAGAAAGAAAACATCTCTCCCAATACTTTCTGAGACTTTCGGCTAATCAACTAGGCAACATTCTCTCTCACACCAAAAACCAAATTAAAAACGACACATCGTGGGGCCAGCAGGTGGCGTAATAGTTCGGGTGCTAGACTCCCACATGGTGGACCACAGTTCCAGTCCCCGACCTGGCTTCGTTTCTCACTTTCCCTCTTTCTCTCTGGTCAAATGTTTAAAAAACATGATAATAATAAATAGAATGAAATATTTCCAAAAAAGATGTATTACACACATACACATCTTGTAGGGA